CTGATCTTGATCTTCCCATTGCCTTGCAGAAAGGTAAATGCACTTGCACCCTTCATCCTATTTCTCATCATGTTTCACTTACTCACMTTTCCGCCTCCCATCGCCAGTTTGTCACTTTGTTATCATCAGTTGTTGTATCTAAGGATGTCCAGGAAGCCCTTGCCTCTCCAGGGTGGTGCCATGCGATGGAAGAAGAACTTTCAACCCTTCATCATAATCATACTTGGGACCTCACCGTTCTTCCTCCTGGGAAGCAGGCTGTCGGTTGTAGATGGGTTTATACAGTTAAGTATTTACCTGATGGTAGTGTTGAATGCCTGAAAGCGCGATTGGTTGCAAAAGGGTACTCCCAAACCTATGGTATTGACTACATAGAGACCTTCTCACCAGTTGCTAAGATAGGGTCAGTTCGTGTTGTGATCTCTCTTGTAGCTATGTTTGATTGGCCGCTATATCAACTTGATATCAAGAATGCCTTTTTGCATGGTGACTTACTCAAGGAAGTCTACATGGAGCAACCTCCCGGGTTTGTTGCTCAGGGGGAGGATGGTAAGGTATGCAGACTAAAGAAGGCTATATATGGGCTTAAACAGTCTCCTCGAGCATGGTTTGGTAGGTCCAGTGAGGTGGTAAAGAAGTTTGGTATGAAATAGTGCCAAGTTGATCATTCCGTATTCAGTCATGACTCTCCGGGAGGAAAAATACTGTTGGTGGTGTATGTAGATGATATTGTTATTACCGGGAATGATAACATGGGCATTGACAAGCTGAAGACTTATCTACAGGATCATTTCCAGACAAAGGATCTTGGTAAACTGAAATATTTCTTGGGGATAGAGGTAGCAAGATCTAAGTATGGTATTAATTTGTGCYAGAGGAAATATGTGCTTGATTTGCTGGAAGAAACAGGCTTGTTGGGTGCTAAACCAACTGAAACACCTATGGAAACAAATACTAGGCTAAGTAGTGATATGAGTGAAGTGTTTGAAGACCCTGGCAGATACCGGCGACTTGTAGGTAAACTGAACTACCTAACCATTACTCAGCCAGACATTTCATTTGTGGTTAGTGTGGTAAGTCAGTTCATGCAGAAACCTCTGGTTCCTCATTGGAATGCAGTTCTGAGAATTGTGAGGTATTGGAAAGGGGCCCCGGGTCGTGGTTTGATATACAGAAGTGGCGGAAAACTTGAAATAGAAGGGTATTCTGATGCTGACTGGGCCGGTTCTATGTCTGATAGGCGATCTACCACAGGCTATTGCACTTTTCTAGGAGTAACCTGGTGACATGGAAAAGTAAGAAGCAGACAGTCGTGGCAAGAAATAGTGCAAAAGCAGAATATAGAACTATGGCACATATTGCTTGTGAATTAATGTGGCTAAGGAACCTTCTACAGGAGGTAGGGTACAACATCAATACTCCAATGAAGCTTTATTGTGACAATCAGGCTGCAGTTCATATTTCTTCTAATCCGGTGTTTCATGAAAGAACCAAGCACATTGAGGTTGACTGTCACTTTGTGAGGGAGAAAGTGYTGAATGGAGTGCTAGACACTGCATACGTCAATACAGGAAACCRGTGGGCARACTTATTTACAAAAGGGTTGAGTCGGGGAAGAGTGGACTACATATGTAACAAGCTGGGATTGTATGATATATACTCACCAGCTTGAGGGGGAGTGTTAGTGTAAGGGTATTTCTGTCTTTATACTTATATTAAGGTTATTGATCTGTAATGTTATGTTAGAACCAGTGCTCCTTACTTAAATAAGGGCACATATGTCTTTTCCACTATTTTTAATAATAAAAGCACATGTCTGGNATGTTAGAACCAGTGCTCCTTACTTAAATAAGGGCACATATGTCTTTTCCACTATTTTTAATAATAAAAGCACATGTCTGGCCGAATGGGAGTAGGTTTTTTGACTTCCAGTTCGAACCAGACTTTTCTCCTTTACTCTCTCTCTCTCTTTCTTCCACCTTTCTACCTCTTTCTACGTGACTGATCTCAGACAAACAGAACTCCAAGGCAGGCCGAATCATAACACCTATCAATGGATTAGGCAGACCCAACAGAACCAACCCAATTATATAGGATCTGGATCCGTATTATGTGTCCCAATTATAATTGGGGGTTCTGGGTTTTGATATAATTTCCTTGTTATAATTGGGTGGGAATCAGTTTTGGTTGTTCCAAACCAATTAAAACCTAAACCATATAAACCCAAATGTGTTCATTCAAGAAATTAGTAGCACTATTGTCCAATTACAAATTAAAAGTATAGTTGTCAGTTATAATGGATATTATTGGGTCAAACCCTATAGTCCCAATTAATAATTGGGTTGGTTCTGGATCTGCTATTACATGCCCTGTAGGGTCTTGTTTAGAACTGGTTCTGCGCATTTCTTGATAGCACTAACAAGTGCTCTTGCAGCGAGATCTCTTGTTGCAAAAGAGCTTGCTAGAGATGCCACATATTCAAACAAGCACGAGCAAAACTAAAGTGAACCAATTCATTACCATGAAAAGGTTCTCTTATTAAGAAATGTGGGACAAAGGTTTCAAGGAAATTTAGTGTCAAAAAAGGGTATTTTCATGTAGACAAGTCAGTCCTTTCAAAAGAAAGTCAAGGAGTTTCAAAAAGATCTTTTTTTTTATCAATAACAATATGGATACAAAAGGGAAGATAAAATATCTTGGCTCCCCAAAAACAGAAAACAAAGGGAGTGCAAAGAGAAAAGATTAAAAGCTAGCCCAAAAAACACTCCCTATTCACTCCTTGCTTGGCCAACCCATCCGCAAATGAGTTGGCACTCCTCTTCACCCAGCTTCAAAAAGATCTATTTCAAAAACATTTGTAAGCTCACTGATAAAAAAAAAAACATTTATAAGCTCAAAAGGCATTAAACCAATATCAAACAAACCAAATAAAAGCATAAAAAGAGGGGAAGAATCTTATTGAGAAGCATAAAAGCTGCAGTCATCTGGATAGTTTGGGAAGAGAGAAACACAAGAATCTTCAAGGATAAAGAAAGGAGTCAGGAAGCAATAATTGAGTGCATTACTACTAGGGTGGCTCATTGAGTAAAGACTATGGAGATTTTCTCTTCCTTCTCTACAGATGATATCGCTAGAAAATGGAGAGAAGCGGCAAGCACTTCCTCCAAAAAGACTACAGTCCACAAGAGATGGATGCCACCAAACAGATGATTCTTAAAACTCAACTTTGATGGAAGTAGTAGGGGGAACCCGGGCACTTAAGGAGTGGGAGGAGTTTTTAGAGATGAGGAAGTTAATATTGTTGCTTTGTTCTCAGGCCCGGAAGGAGATGGATGCCACCAAACAGATGATTCTTAAAACTCAACTTTGATGGAAGTAGTAGGGGGAACCCGGACACTTAAGGAGTGGGAGGAGTTTTTAGAGATGAGGAAGTTAATATTGTTGCTTTGTTCTCAGGCCCGGAAGGAGATGGATGCCACCAAACAGATGATTCTTAAAACTCAACTTTGATGGAAGTAGTAGGGGGAACCCGGACACTTAAGGAGTGGGAGGAGTTTTTAGAGATGAGGAAGGTAATATTGTTGCTTTGTTCTCAGGCCCGGATGGAGAAGGTGGTTCACTAAGGGCTGAAGTTTTGGTGGTAATGGAAGGTGTGCAAAGGAAAAAGGAAATGAATGTGAAAAAGCTGATTCTTGAAGGAGATTTGAAATTGGTGGTAGATGGAGGCTGATTTATAGTGCTACAGTAATGAGGTAAAGAAGCTTAAGTGGATGACTAGTAGAGATAATGGAGGTAAGGATTCGATGTGTTCCAAATGTAGCCGCCAACAGCTTGGCAGATGCTCTAGCTAAGAAAGGTGTGGAGAGGGAACAAATGTTTTGGGCACAGTTGTAAAATTAAAAGAAAATTAAGAGGGTAGAGATAAGACTCCTTATCTCTAAAAAGACCTCTGTATGTATATGGTTTCCATCACCTATAGTATTAAAACCTGATTGTTATTGATCAAAAATAAATAAATAACATCTATTGCAACTCAAAAAAAAAAAAAAAGAAAGACCCTGTCCTGGTCGCCAACTGACACTTGACCATTAACAGTCATAATCCTTTCAAAACACATCATACTTACAACATATTAGTCTCATTGGGTGCATCACTAATAACCTATCTAATGATACCAAGATCAAGTGAAATAGAAAGTTGTTAGTTTATGACCCCTAAAGTATAGGCTTACAGAAAGTGATGTGATTACAGCTTCACCTGTCCAAAATTCTAAGAACTCTCTAAAAATACACTTCTACCTATCATGACCTTGTAAGACGACTAACCCAATCCATACAAAGCTAACAAACTAGAAAATGACTCTTAAAAACTCTAATTAATCAAAATTCAAACACCGAAAAAATAACATGATCACCACTGGTGCAAATCCAATGCGGTTCCATTGGATTTGTTCATTTATTTTTAGAGCCCCCCAATCACAATGCACTAAGTTAGATGGACATTACTAAATAGTTGCCATGTCCATGTTGATTGTTGAAAAAATTTGTCCAACATCTTGTCCATGTCGTGTTTCTGTTATGCACAGTTTAAGCATACACCTCAAGCACTAAATCAGATGAACATTTCTAAGCATGTGCCATGTCAGTGTCGATAGTTGAAAACTTAAGTTTTATTGTAAATTCCTTGGCCAACACCTTGTTCATGTCATGTCTTTGTCATGTACCGTAGCATGGCTTAAGCACAGTAGCACACATACTCAACTTTAAAAATCACATACACGTGGATAAGTTTGGCTTCATAAATTACCTCTTATTCATTTCTGGTGCATCTATCTATTCCTTCTCTAGATGAAGAAATGTTTTATCCTTGAATTACCCAAAGTTGGGTTTTTCCTAAAGCCATCTATATGCACAAATATTTGAAATCAAGATGTGCCTTCAATAAAATCACTTATTAAGACGACAATATCAATGGGTAATAAGAATATAGATTTAACTTACAGCACTAGAATCTTGGCCGATAACCATAACCATAATAGCAGGCTTAAACTTCTGAATAGCAGGGACAACCAATTTATTCATGGCATACTCGTAGCCCCTATCACCAGTCCCATTTGGCAGAGGTATATTCAAATTAAACCCAAATCCTTTATCTTCACCGAGCTCATAAACAGTTCCTTGCTGTGGATGGGATGGACCCCAGGAACCATGATTCATATGAAGAGAGATTGTAAGAACATTATCTGAGCGATAGAACCCCTCTGCAGTTCCATTGCCATAATGGACATCAATGTCAATGGCGGCAACTTTTCCACAACCAGAATCTAAAGCCAATTGAACTGCAATGCCAGCATTGTTAAGGAAGCAGTATCCATCGGCTTGAGCAGGCTGAGCATGGTGACCAGGAGGCCGAACTAATGCATAAGCAATCTTCCCGTGGCCATCCAGTATGTGCTTCATAGCCATTAGTGTAGTACCAGCAGCAAGAAGGGAAGCATCCCAAGAGCCAGGGTTCAAGATAGTCCCTTCACAGATCATCTTCCCCCCAGCTTCATCCGCTTGAACAAGCTCTTTTATGTACTCTGAGATGTTAGTGTGTCAAACAACATTAGGCTCTTGCCCCATTAATTCAAGCATGCAGATGAGAATTCGTTTCTCATCATCCCACAGAACAGAAACGAGGAAAATGAAGTACCCTGAAGATTAAACACAGGTCTTAATAAAGAAATTTGCCATTCTCTTATTTGTTTTGTTCAGACAATCATGAATCAGTAGGGTTCAATGATTCAGAATTGGTAAAATCGAACAGATTGAATTTAAAAAAGCAAAAGGAAAGAAAAGATGGAAAGCTCTGGAAATTGAAGCACCTGGTGTATGGAACGAGAGCAAATCAGAGATATCTGCAGGTCTTCCGGTATGCCAAGATATATAGGGAGAGATAGGACCCCTTTTGAGGATAGAGACCATGTTTTTCACTCTATCTGGGTTCTCCGGGTGCTTTTCCAAGACATCGAGGAAACCTGGGTCCATCGCGGTGTCGAAGACGCCGACTCCAGTATCATGCTTTAGCATCCCTTCATGCCAGAACACGTCAATGCGACTGGACGATGAAGAAGCAGGAGAAGCCATGAATGGAAATTATTAAGGAATCAAAAGCTGGGGTGACTTTCAAACAGCCCTTAACGACTACTCTTTTTGAGGTCCTAAGCACTAGAACCTGGAATCAGGAAGTTAGAGCAGTTGGTGGTAATGATCCGTGTGTGCTCGGTGGTTTCAGATTCTGGTTCTTACACTGCAAACCGCAAAGCTTCCCTGCTGCGGTTGCAACCCCGTTTGCAAGGGCTTAAGCCTGAGTTGAATTGCCCCCGTTGGGGAGGGCTTTAATGCAACGGCTTCTAACTTTGCAAATGGCTTCCCCTTTGCTTGCGAGGAAAAAACTTTGGGCTGCGTTTGGTTGCAATGTAAATGCAAATATGTACATCACATATTTATGAATGAATGTAAACATGATTTAAACATGATTTATCCATTTTTCAATTCATGAATGTAAACATGATTTATATTTTAAATCGTTTTCATGTTCATCTTGTTTGTTTGGAATCGGTGCAAAAATGTGGGTTCATCATTAAATGCTCTAACTATCTTATACTCCATTGTGTTAACTTTGGTCAAAAAGTTAATTATCAAAAAAATACAAAATTATATCCAAAAAATAGGTACAATGATGCTCTTTTCTTAAAGTACAAAAGTGTCAGAAAATACATTTTATTCTGATAATCATTATTTTTTTAGGTTTCAAACAAATGTTCGCAAACGCGACCCCAATTTGTCGTTTGTATCGCAAACAAACGGAGCCTTAGCTATTTGTAAAGCTGGGCTGTTTTGGGAGCCTAGTGAATAGGAATGGCAACGGCTTCCCATGCAAATTGCCCTATCCATTCCCGAACCCGTGTATTCTTATTCTAAACCCGTTCCAAAATCATCTAACTTTTCATTTCAATTTCCCAAACCCGTCCCACCCATTAAACCCCTTGACCAAATGTTTTCTACTAAAAAAAAGATTCTTAATACTTATAATGTGACTTAAACCCAGATTAGCACCAAATCTCTTAAACCACCAAGTCATCTCACATTTTGTGTTATTTAATGAAATAAAATAGATTTTATTAATTTTTGCATTCATCAAAACAATCAATACATATATATAATTAGCAATTCCAACTAAAAATTAAAAGAAATAGTATTTAAAATTAACATTTTATAACTAAATGAAATAAATAATCTATCAATTCCAAATTTACATCAAATGATGATTTTAGTCCCAACAAAGATTAGGCTTGGTAGTTAATGAATCTCAATAGTAAATACTCAAAGAAAAAAAGTTTTGATCAAAGTATGGTCTCTCAATTAAGCATTGTCACTCTGTTGTCTAATTCCAGTAAGCTTCAAAGATGGAAGCTAAACTACCGTATGTGGAACACCTGGTTTGATCTCTCAAATGCCATAGGAATACGATATTTTCAACAACTCAAGTGGAGGTCAGTAAAGACCTGGCGAAGCTTTGTAAGATCTCAACTGATTTGTTATCTTCATCAGATCTGACTGATTCAAATCCACCTCTTCCTTCTACAAAACAGGTTTGATCTGGTGTGATTTCAATAAATATGATCTCGCTATGAATTGCTTCAAGAAGGCATCGATCTAGTATTTAAGGTTGAGATAAATGAATTTTTTTACTATGGAGAACGAAAGCTTCTCTTAGATCTGAACAAAGAAAAATCGCGCTCTCCATGGGAAGTCTCAAATCAAAACCTCTTGTTGAATGGGTGAACGGTCTATGCATTTCTTTTGTTGTATTTTATGTTAGTTTCTTGATATATATATATATATATATATATATATATATTCTGAAATTTGTATTGTTTTTTCATCTTCCATGTTTTTTGTTAGCTTTTGCACAGTTTCTATGATTTTTTCTGTAATTTCTGCTATTTATCTTCATTTTTTATGTTTTTATAATTTTTGCTTTTTATGTAATTTCTGTTTTTCTGTATTTTTTGTGTTAGTATATAATTTTTGTATTTTTGTGTTTTAATAATTTACAAAAATTTAATGGGTTGGATGGGTTAGATTGGGTCAAGGTGGGTCTGGGTTGAATCCAACCCATTTAATTTGCACTACATGGGTTATTAATGGATTGATGGGTTAGACGGATTGGATTGAAGCTTAGCCCAAACCATCCAATTGCCACCCCTACATCTCGTTACCCATTTTAATTTTATCTTATCTCCATTCATCATCACTTGCCTCGCAGCTTTAAGATTTCAAATGAAATTTGTAATCTGGAACAGAAGGGGGTGTAATGACCCTCATAAAGTCTGATCCTAAAAAAGCAAATCAAAGAAAAAATCCAAACATTCTCTTCATGTCTAGAACAAAATTTGATGCCCAAAAAATGGAAAAATTTGGGAACCAAACTAGGTTATAAGCAATGAAGTGGAGTGCCTACAAGGGGTTTATACTGAGGTCTTTTTGTTGTCGGAAAAATTAAATGTTTATTGATAAAATTTTCATGTCGGATAAGATCATTGTTTTAAACATAAAGGATGGCCCTTCAAACCCTCCATAGTGATTAGGCTTAGTTTATGGTAACATAAGTAGATCCCAAAGAACAAACTTTTGGGAAGAATTTAGTGAGCTCATTGGTAACAAACCAAATTGGATAACAGCCAATGACTTGAATGATACACTTGAATTGAGTCATTACAAGGTTAATCGACTAATCGTCACTGCCCAAGCAAAATGTCTAAGCATCTATATCAGCTAATACAAAACCATGCCTTAATGGAAATCAAATCTAAGGGATCTAGCTTTACGCCTTTACTTGGTCAAATGGGAAAATGGGTGCCCAATGCATTAGACAAGGGCCTAACTACTCCCTGGTGGCATGAGTTATTCCCTGAATCTAGAAATATATTTTTAGATTACACCCTACTACTTCTAGACACTATTCCCAAAGTTTAAGGAACGCAAAAATGGAGTTGAAAAAATGGAACAAGGAAATATTCGGGTTTATTGAGACAAAATTGAAACACATAGAAGAAAAGTTGTTGATGTTAGACAAGATAGGGATTTCAAGTGGTAGCCAAGAAAGGTTGGAGTTATGGAGCAGTCATGGAGGATGAAATTGAGGGAATTGTGGTTAAAAGAAGGAGAAAGAAATACAAAGTATTTCCATCAACTCACAAAATTTAATAGAAGAAGAAATACACTAGATTTTCTGGAAAAAAAAATGAAAAGGAGGTTAATATAAGCCTAGAGGATGTAGTTGAAGCCTTTAAAAACTATGCTACCCAAATTCATGGACCTAGAAATGAAGATGCAATACAAATTTAGGATCTGATATAGATTAAGCTAGCAAATACTAAAGTAGCAGACCTAATAATCTCACCCCTCAATGAGGAGATTAAAGTAGTAGTAAAATCCATGAGAGCCTACTCTATACTTGGATTGTACACAACCAATCCAATTTCCCCCAACCTGAACTCCACATGCTTAGCTTACAACCCTAAAACCAAAAATCCTTGAAGGATCCAACAATATAGACCCGTTAGTGTTTGTAGTGTGTTGTACAAAATAATATCCAAATGTTTGGTTCTTAGGATAGAGAAGATAATGGATAAATTGATTGCACACAACCAATCAACTTTTATAAAAGGAAGACAAGGGTGGATAACATCTTGGTGGTAAAAGAAATAGACCACAAAATGAGGAAATAAGGGGAAAAAAAAAAGAAAAAATGGGTGTTACTAAAGATTGATGTGTCCAATGCCTATGAAATGAAAAGAGATTTTGACATCTAAATGTTAAAAGAGATGGTTTCCTTGACAAGTGGTGTCAAATGGTTGAATTTTACTAAATACACCAACATTTTGCATAAAAATAAACGAGACTCGGAAAAATTACTTCCAACTACAAAATGGACTTAGACAAGGTGATCTTCATATTTGTTTGTTTATCATTGGAATGCAAGCCCTCTCTAGCCTATTCTCTATTGCTGAATAGAATAAAGAGATACAAGGTTTTAAGATATGTAGGGAGGGAACCCCAATCACACATTTACTATTTGCAGATTGACAAATCTTCAAAAAGTTTAAAGATGAAAAAATAAACTTAGCAAAGTTTGGAGCCCAGTTGTGGTGTTCATAAAAGAAAAGAAAGTTGTTTCATATGTTACAAATAAAATAAATGAAGTCTCACGAGAGATAACTGTGTGCAAAATTATGCTTTCAAGGAAGAACAAATCTTCATCACCAAGTAAACATAATAAATTTTAAATTGCCCACATGGAAGGCAAAATTTATATCCCATGTTGGAAGAATCACACTAGTGAAATTAGTGTTATAGGCCCTAACCACATACATCATGTCAACCTTAATTCTCTGTAGAAAAAATAGTGGACTAGATAGAAAAAACTTGAAAAACATTAATTCCTTGTGGGAAGGTTCCAACCACAAAACATCCATGCGTACAATAGCTTGGGACAAAATATGCGTACAATAGCTTTGTTTATGATTTAAACGCGGAGATTAATGACCTCTGCAAATGGCCTTTAGGGTCAAGTAATCAAAGAAAAATATGTGAAAGAAGTACCCTTATTTAATTTGAAGAAAAAACCAAGTGACTTTTCTTGGTGGAAAAAAGTTGTGGACTTAGTGAAATAGATCAAAGAAAACTTTTTCTAGCAAATAAAATGGAAGAATGGTGCATATATTAAACCCCTGGATCCCAACTCTATAGAGTGGCAAAATTTACAAAGTCAACCTAATTTAGTCATTTACCATAATCTTCTGGGCCAATGTCATGGAGCACCATATGGAGAGCCAAAGTTCCACTAAGATTCCAAATTTTCATTTGGAAAGGTGGTGGAGTGATATAAAAACAAAAGATAAAATGGTCTTTTTGCAACAACAAGACCAACTTTGCATTTTCTATTTTAAAGCTAGAGTCGTGGCAACATCTATTCTTTTCATGCCATTATGCAAAAGCAGTTCCGCTCATAGCACAAATAGAAATTAACCTAGATGGTGTACTAAATTTGTAGCTCTACTAGTTTATCTCTAATTGGATGAGGTTAAAGTTAAAGTCCCTTCCCAAGGAAAGAAAGCAACTCTACATTACAAAATTCCATATCCTATTTAGACTTATTTGGAACATGAGAAATGCAAAATTACATGGCTAGTGTTAAGAGCCCGAGAATAGGATCTCGTCACGGGTCGGCCCACGGGGAAAACTTCCTGTTTTCCCTTGTTCCTCCTTTTTCTTGAGGAACCTATTTTGGCGCCTTAATGGTGATTTGTTCAAGAAATCACCAACTCTCCTCACTCTTTTCTTGACTGAAATTTTCGATGCCTTATTCAATATTCTCAGCTCCTTAA